AAATCCGATCAAGGTTTTCTTAAAACGCTCCTTTGAACAAGGTGAGTAAGTAACCTTTCTATTCGTATTAATTTTTGATTATCCGAATTGATCTCCCAAAATCGATATTAGAAAGTTATCTATGTCAGAACATGGCCTCGATTTCTTTTTTTACTTAAGGCGTGTGCAATCTTTCAACGTTTCATCACTTATAAATATTTTATCTTAATGCTTACCTCTGTATCTATTTAGTTTTTAGGCTTTAAGAGAGTCTAATGCCTTAATTAATTTCTTATTTTTACTTCCTTTCTCTAAATCCAAAAGGGCGGTTTAGGTGTTGGCTTACCTAAGTCCAGCAGCCAGTATACTCGACTTCGAGGTATTCATAACCGGACTTCCAGGACTGGGCCCTCCCACGGTGTCAAGGAAACACTGTTACAGCTTCGGACTGAGTTGGCGCGTCTTATGTCCGAAAATGACGAGCTTGATGCCCAGTTGAATCTTGGCATGGCTGAGGTTGAAAAACGCAACACAGATTTGGAACGGCAAGTTATTGTATGCATGCATTTATTTGTGTGTATTCATTGCTCATTTATATATATAAGCACATACGGCTTGTATTGTATAACTACTATTATTTTTAAGTCGTTTTATTTATCACTTGTTGCTTAGACCTACTTATACATCCTATCTACATATATTTAAACAACCTATAAGTATTATGAAAAATAGGTGTTTCACTTTCAAAAGACTCTTGGATTCAGCAGGCCTGAATCCCGGTTTCCTACCGGACAGATATTTTGTTTATGAACCTAATATTTATATACACTAATTTTCGGAGTACAATTTTTGGTTATTTTTTTAAATATTCTTATTTTAAATAAATAAACTATAACCGACTCAACTAAACCTATTTTGATTATCGTTATGAAGAGCTAGATGATCTAGCCTTTATTTCGATTGCATTCTTCTTTCGCTATATAAAGTTTGTCTTAACTGTTTTTTGAAGCCAGGTTGTGGTATCACGGATACCCTGACGTCTTACTTGGTTCTGTCCTCTACCATTGTTCTTATGCCTTTTCCAGCATAAGGCCTCTGACTTGGCTCACTTGGTTCGCCGATACACTAGTCATCTTTCTTTAGCGTTACCAGCTTCACCGTCAATATATAACTTGACGATGAGATTACGATGTGGAAATCTAAGCTGACGCTCCGATACTAGAAGTATTCAGGACAAAAATGACGGTTTTCCT